AAGTACTTAGTTATCCGCTACTGCAGTCACATGTTTACTAATAATTAGGAAAATGCTTGGTTACACTCGCAAACGAATCGGTGGCACTGTAAATAAGCAGCTCAATCAATTACACCGAACTACGACTAACCAAATTAACAAGTGCAGTCCTCCTTACAAATTTAATGTTAAACGATATTGGATTTTATACCTTTGGTTGTATCACCTATACAATATTTCTATACCCACACATTCACAAACACTTAATGGTGCCATTTTTTCCACTTTACTCCACTTTGAGGCTTCAGTTATTTCGATATACCACAGTTTTGCATCCTTTTAAGTGGCTTTTGCAAGGAGTAATCCTCTTCAACACAGGATTCTCAAAACCTCTGTTTTAGGGCTACCCCACTCATCAGCAGTGGCAGTGATGACTTCCTGGGCTCTCCTGCCATGGGAAGTATATGCCTTATCAACCTGGCTCATCATCCTCCGCACTCCACACTGGCCTTCTCATTTTCCTTCATCCTTGTGCTGAAAATTTTAATCAGGGTCTGCCATATTGTTACGCAGTCCTCCTTCCACAGTCTCTTGCCCCGTAAGATTTATTTGCCCTCTCCCTGGTTTACACATTTCATCGACCCCTGCCACCCCATCTGTGCCACTCGAGGCGTTATTGGCCCTACCATGCGTCTGGGTGACTAATTCGAGGCTCAAGCCTCTGAGTAAGTGTCATGGTCACGCCTTTGCCACATGGACCACATCTGTAATAAAAATTACTGTCAGCCCACTAGCTCCCATCACCGCCGTATCTATTCTGTTTCTATTTCTAATACCAAGTCTATGACTTCCCATGCCCTAGTCTCTTGTGTTCCAACCCACAAACGTTCGGGTTCAACATTGAACCTAATCAAAGCAAGCAGTACCACAACATTTTTGAGTTGGTACACAAGAGACCCACAAATGTTGTGGTACCTTTCGCTTTGGTTAGGTTCAATGTTCAATTGTCGCGGCATTGCTAATAGACCTCATTTTATATTTCTACATTATAGTACGGCATCTCTTATTTCAACCCCAGATCATATGGCTCATTAACTTATTCACAATTCTGTGCTCTCATTTCTTCCAATGTCGCTACAAGTGGGTTTATAGAAGCGTAATCATTTCTACCACCGGTACCAGGTGCATTTTGCAGGGGTCCTGACATATTTCGCCCCTCCTTTTTTCTACTTTCCAATTAGCAACTTTGATAAGTTGTAACTTTGTGCTTACGATAGGGCCTCTCACTGGCGATGCCGGCGAAACGTTTAGGAATTTCCCAATGCAATTGCCTAATGCTGGAAATCAGGAATAATATGGCAGAGGACGTTCCACGAGGTATCCCTTAGGCTCATAACAAGTTAGGGAAATAAGGTTCAACCAAAACAATAAGGCTGAAGGAGACTTTGACCAAGCAGAAGGCCACACCATCTTGGTCTTCATATCTACGATTTAATTACGATTAATATTGCCAGTCAATGCACTGATTATAGCAGATCAAGGCGATCTTATCATTTGACCTTTCCTAACTTTTGTAAACGCTATTACATCCCCTCTGATATTTGCAATTAAATAAGAAAATATCATTTCGATAAAGTCCATGTTACCTTAATTCAAGCTTTGCAAAAATTCGAGGATACATATAATAGGGAGAGGGGAAAATGATTTACGTTTTTGGATATTAAATCTGGACTCAGGTATGATTTTAGTCAGATTCTCACGCCGGAGGATTTCCTAAAGCTACAGAAGATGAGACAAAATGGTGAAAAGGATATCGGACTTAATCAAAAAAGGCACCTAAGAAGCTGAAGAAGTATGGAATATATATCCATCTCAAGGTCCAACCATCTGTAAAAATGAAGATGCCCCTAGACTGACGTATCTCAGTCCAAACAAGAAATTAAGGTAAAGTAGCGAATCTGTATTCTGTCCCTCTTGACCTGAAAATCACAGAGATCCTTCAGAAAGGACTAAATTTTGCACTTCGGAATGAAAGGAAGGCAACCAAGGACATTTTTGTGGAGGTGATAAATACTTCATAAAATCTACCATACGAATCAAAAAGAGAGCTGGAAATGAAAGTCAGCTCAGCAAGCTTAGGACATAAAAAAACCCACACATAGGAACTATATAACCAAAATATATAAAGAATTGAAAACAATAAATAATCATACAGGCCGACAAAGGTGCCATAGTGGTGATTGATAGGAAGGAATATACAGATAAAATAGAAAACATTCTCGGGGACACTACAACGTATCGACTAATAATAAAAGATCCATTAGTTAAAATCAAAGAGGCACTATAAAGAAATGCTGAAGGAAATTAACAGGAACAGGGAAATCGGTAAATGGACAATAAATTCACCCATAAGAAAGTATGCAAGAGCTCCAGTAGCAAATAGTTTGCTGAAGGTAAACAAAGAAAGAGAGCGATTGAGACTGATAATCAACAGCAAATATGGACCAACACAGTGGTGAAATTTATCTATCCTGAATTAAAGAAAGTGAATGACAGATTATTTAATACAGTAAAGAACTCATACGAATTTTGCCAAAGAATCAAATTTACCAGTTTAAAAGGAAACAAACTTTTGATGAGCTTTGGTGTACATTCCATGTACACTGAGATCACATGGAAGAAAAAGCACTCACGGCATTACTGGAGATATTGGAAAAAGAAAATGACATCCTGGAGACAGAACGAAGGCGTTGAGAGTCCCTAACTCGAATAATCAACCTAACAATAAGTATGACCTATTTTACGTTCAAACGGCTCACCACTCACACCTCTGTTGGCTAATGTCTTCATGGATAAGTTGGATGGGAACTTCAAAATGTCACCCCAGCAGCCAATAGTAATTATGCAATATTTGGATGACTACTTCACATTCTAGTCGCATTTAAGAGAAAAATTAGACTATTTCCTTAAACGATGGATTAAAAAGTCAAATTAACCATGGATGTAGAATAGAACGAACATTTACTTACTTACTCGTCGCTATGACGAGTTGTAATATGGCGCTACGAATAATAAAACTCACTGATGATGCTGGCGAAACGTTTGGGAATGTATTACGTCCACAGTCCGACTTTGGAAATGAACTACAATGGACTCCGGACATGGTGCGTTCCTCCAAGTCTTCCTACCAATATGACCAAGTTGCGAAAACAAGTTCAAACAACTTCTATACAACGAAAGAAGACTGCGACCA